TCTCCCCAAAGCAGGACGGGGGATATCTGCATAGGAGATTAGATGAGGCTTAGGGGCACAGATTAGAGTCACTCCTCTTGAAGGCGAGGGGCATCAAGTATTCCACCACCGCAGTGGTGGTGGGCCACTCATCCCATGGCCGGCGCAGGCGCTGCCGGCGCTTTGAAGGCCGCAGGGCCCTTCCCCCGTGCCCCCCCCGTCCCGGCAATTGCCCCATGGGCCGCGAGTTTCAGACCCCTGATGTACACCATCCTTTCATTCCACGCATTATTGTGAAAGTAGAGGATTTGCATAGTAACTACACAGTAATAATGTGATGCCATTATGTGACTCTAAACAAACACAGCCAGCCTAAATCTCAACTTGTCATAATCATGTTCACCTTCATCCACCTTTCTAAAGTCAACAATCCCCTCTTTATAATATGATTGAACAATTTTTCTTATACTTGTCTTTGCACTTTCAGAAAATATTTTTTAAGTGTACATATCTTCTGGTCTTCCATGAAATGTTATTCCATAGTGCTATTAAAATGTACATTTAAAGCCTAGGAAAATATTTTCAGATTTCAGCTTTATTTTTAAACTAGCAAAAGCATTAGTTCTGTTGGAATGGCCATATTGTTATCAGGCACTTAGGGCATAAACATGGTGTCAACTTCTTCTCTCTGTTTTTGTGTGTGTGCTAAAGAAACAAGTGTGTATTACAGTCTTGCCATTGAGTGCATAGGTTTTGGGTTAATTTATTTTGTTCTTTGAGTAAGCTTTAGTTGATTAACATGCATTTATGCAATTAGTGTAATTAGAACTAACTGTGTAATTTGTGTAAATGCATGTAACAACAACTAAGACATATAATTACAACATGAAGTGTGTTTTTTTATTTAAAAATCCTTATTGAATTATGGCGAGAGATGTACTGCTGATTTCTTAATACATTTATTAATATCCTTAGTGCAAAACATTATACAGAAGAACAGAACAAGTAGGCTAGTCTTTAAAAAGGAAGTTAAAAAAGGAGCAAGGGTGCTTCTAGATGGATGACTCCTAGGGCTACGAATCGAAATATATTGTGCAGTTATTCTGACTTATTTTCCTTAATGAATTTCTGGTGGTAAAAAAAGTAGAGGTGAAACAATGCAAGAGTCACAAATGAAAGGTGATGCCATCTGGATTCTGCACAAAAGTCTGTCAGGCAGAACAATTGCATAATGAAAGCTTATCTGAGGAAACCCCAAGCTAGAACTGGATCCTGGTATTTGTAGTTTGAAAAGAGAAAAGCAAGTAATGAAGGAATTTCTGTTGGGTTTGAAGATTCTATGGAGAGATATAACTTCTCACAGTGCCCCATGTTCTACCACTGTTACTTGACAGATAAACAATATACAAGTCAGTTCTATAATGCTCAGGATTCCTTATTTCATTTTCATTGTGCTCTTCCAAAGGAGAACAGGATGGCATTTTTATCTTCACATCAGCAGAAGCAAATCATATTTCCTAGATAGCTGCTTACGATTTCAAATCCTACCCAAAGAGCTAGGCTGATTCAGAGGCTTGTAGACATTGTTTGGTCCAGACCTTTCCTGGACCATGTTAATCCTTAGTGAACAGCCTAGCACAGGGGTCCCCAACCTTTTTGGACCTATAAGCAGAACTGAGAATTTGAGAAACTGCTGTGGCCATCACCACAAAAGATGTAATGAGTGGATTGCCATTTGGTGTCTACCTGTCACCTTTGTGGATTTTAGAGTCCCTTTTATTTACTTTGATTTTGTGTGTATTGTACACTCAAGCCCTCTTTAGTCAATGCTTACCTCAATTAATTGCTGGCAGTGTAATACTGCTAATGCTTCTTTTTAAAGTATATTTTGGCAGTGTCCAGTAGTTGTTTCCTTTTGGAAGGAGGTTGTTGCACAGATAATTTTTGTACTGAAACAACCTTTAATATTTACTGATTGTATATGCTATTGTAGGTGATTTACCAGCTTAATGAAAATGAAGAAATGGAACAGGGAATTGATCCTTTGTGCTCTTTTCATAGTTAAAAAACTGATATAACAATGGAGGATAAATACCTCTTATAATTGCAATAGGTAGAACACCTTACAGCACTTTCAAAATATGATTGGGCAGCATATTGATGCCAACTTCAAATGTTTGGATATGTGGTTTGCTTTTGTTGAAGTATCTGTTTAATTGCTAGAAAATTGTGTGCAAAACAAAACAAGGGGGGAATGGAAAAATACTTCCAGGCACCCATGGGCATTACACTGGGGACCCTGTCCTAAGCCAGAGTCCAAAGTATTACTGTGAGGAAGCAGCTCCTAAATCTGGATTCAACATAGGCATTTTAGGGTTTCTTTTTCAAGAAATGGCACCCCACACACACATTCTGTCTGAAGCAGTACAGTCAATTCCTGTCTCTCAGTCTGTTGCATGTATAGATCAAACTTTGTTTTATGAACTCATTCACTACCAAATATGCATGCATAGGTTTGGAGTGATCATTTGATTTCAATATGCATAGCATGACCAAAAGCACTAGAAGTGGAAATTGGACATTTGCAACAAAATCACAAGTTGTCTCAGCATATTTAACTCTGTTTTGACCTACAGAAGAGAAGTGGATCTAAACAGAGATGTTTCTGGTGTCTTAGAGGATTAAAGGCCTTCAGTTAGTAAGGGGCTTATGTTGTTAGAGATTTGTTTAAATGGAGAAATTTGTAAAGAACTGCCACAGCTGGAATTCTTACACTGGAAATCAAAGGAATACAGAATTAAAGGACTTTTTTCTTCTTCTCTAGAAAATTGCCTTTATGGTAGCATTAGGCCTGGTTACAACTGAATACTTGGAAGGTAAGAATACTTTTGTTACTACAATAACACTTTCTGTTTTGAGAAAAAACTAATTCTTCAAAATTCTAAAACTATATTGAAAAACTAGACACTCAGTAGGAAGTATTGGGGATTGATCCAGATGAGGTGGAGCCATATGTACTAGTCCCATCTTGATTCTCCCCTGCATTCCCCAACTACTATGCTTAAGCAGCTACTAAATGTTGTTGTTAGTTGTGAAGTCGTGTCCGATCCATCGCGACCCCATGGACAACACTCCTCCAGGCCTTCCTGCCCTCCACCATCCCCAGAGTCCACTTAAGCTCACACTGACTGCTTCAGTGACTCCATCTAGCCACCTCATTTTCTGCCGTCCCCTTCTTCTTTTGCCGTCAATTGTTCCCAGCATTAGGCTCTTCTCCAGGGAGTCCTTCCTTCTCATTAGGTGGCCAAAGTATTTGAGTTTCATCTTCAGGACCTGGCCTTCTAAAGAGCAGTCAGGGTTGATCTCTAGGAAAGACTAGTTTGATTGCCATGCAGTCCAAGGAGCTTGCAGGAGTCTTCTCCAGCGCTGCAATTCAAAGGCCTCAATTTTTCGACACTCAACCTTCCTTATGGTCCAGTTTCACAGCCACACATTGCAACTGGGAAAACCATAACCTTGACTATGCACACTATTGTTGGCAGGGTGATGTCTCTGCTTTTTAGTATGTTGTCTAGATTTGCCATAGTTTTCCTCTCAAGGAGCAAGCGTCTTTTAATTTCTTGGCTGCAGTCTCTGTCTGTGGTGATCTTGGAGCCCAGGAAAATAAAATCTGTCACTACCTCCATTTCTTCCCCATTTTTTGCCAGGAAGTGATAGGACCGGATGCCATGATCTTAATTTTCTTAATGTTGAGTTTCAAACCAACTTTTGTACTCTCCTCCTTCACTCGCATCAAGAAGCTCTTTAGTTCCTCTTCACTTTCTGCCATTAGAGTGGTATCATCTGCATATCTGAGGTTGTTGATATTTCTCCCAGCAATCATAATTCCAACTGGTGATTCATCTAGCTCCGCCTTTCTCATGATGTGCTCTGCATGTAAGTTAAATAGAGAGGGCGACAGTATGCAGCCTTGCCGAACTCCTTTCTCAATTTTGAACCAGTCAGTGGTTCCATGTCCAGTTCTCACTGTTGCTTCTTGACCCACATATAGATTTCTCAAGAGACAAATAAGATGGTTTGGTACTCCCATCTCTCTAAGAACTTGCTACAATTTGTTGTGATCCACACAATCAAAGGCTTTAGCATAGTCAATGAAACAGAAGTAGATGTTTTTCTGGAACTCCCTAGCTTTCTCCATGATCCAGCATATATTGGCAATTTGATGTCTAGTTCCTCTGCCTCTTCAAAACTCTGACTGTACTTCTGGTAGTTCTTGGTCCACATACTGCTGGAGCCTAGCTTGAGCATCACTTTGCTAGCATGTGAAATGAGTGCAATGGTGCAGTAGTTTGAACATTCTTTGGCATTGCCCTTCTTTGGGATCGGAATGTAAACTGACCTTTTCCAATCCTGTGGCCACTGTTGAGTTTTCCAAGTTTGCTGGCATATTGAGTGTAGCACTTTTACTGCATCGTCTTCTAGGATTTTGACTAGCTCAGGTGGAATGCTGTCACCTCCGCAGCTTTGTTGTAGCTCAGACTTCCTAAGGCCCTTTGACTTCATATTC